GAAAGAGCCCTGAACTGACAAGCAGCTCTTCCTTAAACCTGGACACTAGGAAATTGTCCCTCTGCTCAAAGAACTGTCTCCTTTCTTTCTTTTCCAATGCCTATAATTGGCCAGTTTTTTGAAGGCTTTTAGCACTGTGTATTCTCTGGCCTGTTCCCATCATTTCTCAGATTGTTATAAGATTTCCGACTAGGGAGCCCCTCTCTCCAGACTTTAAAACCTGTTAGCCTGCAGAAATTGAATGTCTCAGAGCATCTGACTAGTATTATTCTCATTTCAAGTATATCAGGCTATGCTAGTGGAGAAAATACATTAGGCTGTTAAACAGAACATGCTCTGTTGTGTTTCACAGTGTTTTCTGACATTAAAATGCTCCTTCACGTGACAAATCATTTTTTAGCGGAAGACAATGCAGTTCAGCCACAACACAGACATCACTGTTCTTCAAGACTGCTGCTTGCCACCCTGCTATCTTGGACTACCACTCGGCAACAGCGGCACTCTTTTGATCCTGGCATATTCAGTGAGGGTGTTGGCTCATCAACCAGTTGCCTCCTCAGAATAAATATGCTTGGAGTCAGGAAATGTAGGATTGCAGCTGCTCTCCAGCGAATTCTCCATGTAAAAATAAATGACAAAAATCACAGTAGCAGCAGTCTGAGTTGGCTTGCTGCTAGTTCAGTGCTATTAGGCACATAAAAGGACATATTTACCAGCGCTGCTCTTCTGGCCAGTCAGTTCACTTCATGCAGCTATTATAGATATGCTGCTGGATGCCTCCTTTCCCCTCATGTAAGACTGATTGTATAGAAGACTTAGATTCCCAGAAGCCCTACTTGCAGACAATAAAACCTCAGCCACTGTGCTGAGAAAACACTAGTAAGACACAGAATCCATCTGGGCAGTTTAAAAAAAAATGGTCTAGATTTGCTTGCATTAATTCATTTTAGAGATGGCTGGAGAAAAGGACAAGAGAATTTGTTCTGCCCACCAGAGCCCAGGTGAGAAAGACCTTCACTAACACTGTGTAAGTCTCCTGCTGTAGGAAGTGCAGTGTGGCAGCTAGGAGAAGTAAGCACAAGGTAGCAGGATGTTCAGCCAGCTAGTAGGGACACCGCAAACTGTTGTCTTCTGACAGCAGAATTCAGTCAAGGTCTCCATATATTAAGAATAGTTGAAAGATGGTTCTTATAATCTTACAGCCTCCATATGTATATTTTTAAAACGGAAGTATTTCCTGCATGTGATTAGTTTAAAAGGTTTATATTTTACATGCCAGAAAAGGGGTGGTTACTACTACAGTGCTATTTAATGCCTCAACTCTGCTAACAAAGGCATTCAGATCTTTTAGCTATTTACTCAGGATGGTGAATAGCCAGAAGGAAACACCTCCAGCGATCTCAGTAGGCTTATTCTTAATATATGTTGTTGTAAAAGAGACAAAAATCAGATCTGCAGACAGATGCTCCCCATAAAGCGGTGCCTGGAACATGTGTGTTATTTGCTATTTCTCAATATAGACACAAAATAAAAATACAACTTAAAAGTCTGTTGACTTACAGATGTTTGATGGAGTACGCAGTGCAATCCAGCCAGATAGCGTTACTTAATGTGAGACAAAAAGCGTTCTGCAGGCTCTTACCTATCCCATGTGAAGGCTGTGGCTGACTGCTAAATTTAGTGGGCAAGAACAAATCACAGGCTAGTTTCTGAAAATCAATTCTTCAGGTGCTCTGTTTGTCATATGGTGGAGTACAATGATACACACGGGACTCCCCAGCTGGCCACCAATGATGATTTAAAATCAGAAGAAGATAAAATTCCACATGCATAGTTAAACGTAAAATAGTTGTTATTGTAGTGTTTCTAAAGTGTCCCCTCAGAGCTCTGTCAGTTCCTTGCCACTACTGCTAAGCCCATTCTGACTCCTAAGACTAGCTTTCTAGGGAAATAAGTCATGTGGTTACATGAGGACCCAAACTCTTTCATTTTTACTGCAAAGCTCTCTCTTTATGCATGCCATGTAAATGAGTCACAAATCTTCCTGGATCTTCCACACAAGTGGTATTTGCATATATTCAAATTGTTTCAAACTGCTATCCTACATCCTTTTCCCAGCTACGGCACTTAAGAACTAAACAGGTGTCTAGACTAATATTCACACAGTAGCAAAAATTGTAATAATTTATTTTAGGGCGAGGGGGAAAAACTATGCAATATGCCACAGTTGAAGCTCATATTCAGACCTAGGAATCATGTCATTATTTCAGAGAATCTAGGCAGACCAAAATTAACTCAAAATGTCAGTCCTTCAGCTAAACCAGTTCAGAAATATCTGATAGAGAAGTTGATGTTATTTTTGTATTCTGTAGAGTTCCAAAATATTTTATCAAGGTGTGTATCCAGAACAGTCCCTAAAAAGAGTTTTCCTTATAAAGTGTTGTCTCTCTCTCGGACATACTTTCTGTATCAAAGCTATTTTTAGCTAAATCACAAGTAAGAAAAAGAATAGTTCAGCTATATCAAGATCTGTAAATACAAAGCAGGCATTTAGAATAGGGGTGATGTATGAAAATTTCCTCGTTAGAAACCAGTAACTGAATCTCACTTGTTCTCTCTTTCCTAACGTTTGTTCACTAGTCGATTCACCAAAGATCAGAGCGCTTCACCCTGCCTCTGTTCAGCTTAAGTTCATATCCTCAGAATATGGTTGATCTGAATGCCATATTCTTATACATCTACGGATGCTGTGAGTATCTCGTTCCACTGAAGTCTTTCATAGAGTAAGGTATTGGTAGCACGAATTGGGGAAGCAGAATTTTCCAAGCAAAACTCAAAATTCTTTGTTTAGATCGATGGAAAGATCACTTCTGAGCATAAAGACAGAACTCAGTTCCACTGAAACCATGTTTTAAAGAAGTGTATAGCCCTCATGCTGGTCTTATGCATAAGGGCATTTTTCTTGAAAGCAAAATCTACCCATACGCCCATTTAAGAACCATTTTCCTTTCTTAATACTAGCACATGAAACAAAGCAAACTTCAGGAAACTGTGACCTAAAGCAAATCAAGACTGATTTAACCTGCATAGGCAGGTTTTACTAATACTTCTTCTAATACATCTCTTCATGACTGGCTACTGACTGTACAGACAATGTAGAGGATCAAATAGAGGGTGCAGATATTGTGGTATCTAGAGCTAGCAGACTGGCTTATATAAATCATTTTAAATCTTAATCCTAAATTGCTAATGTTAATGGGCTCATTCAGATGTTTAGCATGCTTTACTACTGTTATTTTATGTCATATATATATCTGCTATATTAAGTGAAAAGGTTCATGCCTGCTTTGTCTTGGTGTCTTTTGTTTCCATATAGCGTATTGGTTCACTTAGGAACCTTAAGTTGGAAATAATTGATGTTGCATAACGCGGTTGCGGATTATTGCACCACTCTGGTGAATGTGAGCGGTGGGAGAGATATACAATCTCTGTTGACAGCTGTCGTACATAGTGCTGGCATGTCAGTATTAAATATCCTAAAAGTATTTGGGCTGAAAGTCAAAAGAAGACAATGAAGAAATTATTGCATCCATATATGCACTCTACTCTTTGTTAATAGTTAAAAATATTCACATCAAGCAAAAGAACTCAGTAGGCCACATATGATATTATTCAGCGCTCTGAATCCAGAATATGGTTTTAGTACAGTTATTCTGGTATGATCTGGGTGAAAATTCCAAATAGTAGATTCAGTTCTCATTCACACTAATTCTTACTCCTGAGTCATACTAGAGAAATCAAGGTCAGATTGTACACGCAGGTACAGTGAAAGAGTTAATGTCTTGGTTTTGTGGCTTTTGAAATTAGGATTATGGCTCATTCACACCTATTACTTGATCCTGAGTACATAAAACTGATTCAAATTCTTGGGCTGGGTTGCCTATTTTCGAGATTTTCAAATAATGCACGGTATTTTATTCCTCATTTTTTCATTTCTGCTTTTTTGGTGCGGCCATTATGCCACTACAGGTCTCTCTCAAGTTATAATGACTTGCTAACAGTTAATTTCAAAGGTTTCAACTGTTCTTATTTCGTCAGTTGCTTTGGACACTGATTAGCTCAGGTCTTCATTGCCTCAACACTTTTTTTCTGATTCTGCTTGCCAGTTGGTTTCTTTCACCTTATCTAAGGTGAAAGCATATTTCCCAGCATCCCCCCATCGCCTCTCTGTGACTCTTCTCAAATACTCTCTTAGTCTCCTGCTCCTTTTTCTTTGCATTGTTCCTATGGTGACGTCTCTAAACATATTATTTACACACCAATAATATGCAGTTACCATCCTCTTTTCCATCCTTTTTCTGGACTCTATCCTTTTGCTTGTCTCCTTTTCAACAGAAACCAACTATCAGCAATGAAATATGCAAGTTACAAAAGGAAATAGCTCTCTATTACAAAATACTCACCCAGCTAATTCAATCATTTCAAGGAGGTAGTGAACTGTGCTTTTATTACAGTGATAAACAGTTAATACAACTGATACTTAACTATACAGTTAATGTTTAAAAAAAATAATGCTATCCATCAAGGCCAAACACACTTATTTCTGATAAGAAGGGAAAGGCCTTATGTACGCTGCATCTTGAAGTCACGGACAACAAATAAACTTCACATGCCAACATGGCAGTTACTTGTCTCAGAATATTAAACTGACACAGAGCCAATAAGAAGTCATGTTGTTAAGTTTCCAACAGCATCCTTTTGCATTGAAACTTCGAAGTTATTGTTAGTCTTATCACTGTGCCTGTCATATAAATTGGGCCCTATGTTAGCCAGTAGACAAATACACGATGGAAGTAGTCTTTCACCTAAAAATCTCATCCAGTTCTCACAGAAGTAATTTATTCCTTTGTCTTTGATGGAAGAGCAGGATCAGCTCTCTGAAAGTTTCCAGAATGCTTTAATGCTACATACCAATTCCACTTATGAATAAATGTCTTTAACAGATTTTATTGGACTCAATAAAGATCACAGCTTTTCCTTCAGTAACTTTCTGACATACAGCTACAGCAGTGCATGCAAATTCAAGATTGCTTATTAGGCACCTCTGTTTATAAGTAAGCCATGCTTGTGCCTATTTATATTTAACAAATCTATTTTTTATGCAATATACACAAATTCTTTTTTTAGGACCTCAGGAAGACAGTGTTGGGTAGGACATCCTGGTCATTCAAACAAACCTGCTATTACAGGCAACTCTGCCGTATGATCCCATTTATGTATTCATCAACTCTATCTTAAGGTTTTGCCCATTACTCCTATTCCAGTTCTACCAGAGCCTCTCTGCTCAGAGAGTCACAAGCCTTCTCATTTTCACTAATTGATTTCCTGGGCCAGTAAGGCTCCAGTCATTCTTAGTCAAGTATTGCCCTGAAGCTAAAATTGGTTGTTCTTTCTGCAGGGAACCTGAGTGCTTACCCCAAAACATAAACAGAAAGAGCAATGAAATTCTGTAATTCTTTTTTTTTTTTTGGATAGGTTTAAAAAAGCCTGATTCTCTCAGTCTCCTCTCACAAATTAGGCTGTAGAATCGCATGATTATTGCACTCACCCCAGCTGAACCTGCTCCAATTCAATTTCTTGAACATCTTGTACGTTCCTGACTGTCGGAGCTGTACACAATGAAATGGCACTAACACTTCTCTATATCTTCTGGGAATATCTCACACAGTGCTCCATAGGACTGGATATTTCTATTGCTATAATCTTTCAGGTCGTTCTCTGACCTGTTCATCACCGACATCTCTCCGCATGATGTCTCTTAAATAAGCCCGTTTCCTCTTTTTCCCAGTGTTATTGATATCGAACATAACACAGACACATGCGTGCATGCGTGCATATACACGTATGTATGTGTGTGAGAGAGTGTGTGTGTGTGTGTAGGTGTGTGTAGATGTGTGCATGAATTCAGTAACATTGAGCTTGATGAACTCTCGAAAGGTCACTTTCCAGTACAATTCATTGTCTCTGACTGTTTATCAGCTCTTCATCCATTTTCCAGTTCTTGAACCAGGGCCCATATTCTTTAGTTTTACTTCTATGTTCTCATGTTACCCAGGAATTGCTGCATCAGTTGCTTGTAAATTGAGGCTGATTAGTGCTCTCAGATTTTCCTTGTCTAGAAAATCAGAAATAGGAATAAAATCACAAGTTGGTCTGGTACTGTCTATTTGAATAAGTGAAATACCGGAAAATACTGGAAAAGGTAAAGCAGGAAATTTGGCGCTGTATTATGTTATTTCTTTTTGCATAATAACCTGGATATAATACAGATATTACCTGTGTTATCTTCATGGGTAAGGAAAAGAGCTATAAGAGGCTGTCCTTTCTTTGGGTTGACAGTCCTTCACTCCATTAGTTGCTGTCCATTTTCTAGCCCTTTCCCTCATCAGTTCTGAAGGTGCACAGAAGTCTCCACAGAGCTCTATGGATGGAGAAAACGCTACCATAACTGTGGCCGCACATACCCAGATCACTGGATAGAAGCCCTTACCTGCATGCCGTTTCTAGATGTACAATTGGACCCTGAGGTCTGGCTCAGAGACTAGATTGTTCTGCCCTGCTTTGTTGGCTTCCTCCTGCTCCATAGTAAATCACTGGGAATTCAGTGATGACCTTTGTGGAAGGCAGAGATAATGAAGTGCAAGAAGCTTGGTCAATAATCTGCTCACTGATCTACCAGCAGATGTTTTTTCTTTTTTGTGTGGTACTCATCTCTCTGTGCGCTAAAGAACAGTTTATTACGAAGCAACCTTATAGCTATGGTTGTACATGAACACAAAAGAATGCAAAACGGATGAATGCTTTTATGCCAACTTTGAGCCCTCAGATTCAGTGGCAATCTGTTGCATCCTCCCTCTTCAGGCTCTTCCAACGGCCTCATTTAGGAGAGGCTTGGCATAATAAGAGCACCTTCAGAGGATCTGGGGTTCATTTGTGGCCACTGCTTGCCAGAGGTGGGGATTTAACAGGCCCAAGTTTCCACTGCAAAACTAACTCCCCGCTCAGAATATCAGTATTAGGTGTGGTAGGCAAGATCTCAGCAGACCTAAGGAGGATTATTCTGCAAGATTTAATGTGACTTGGACTTGAATTCCTTTACTGTAAGGCCCTGAATATTTTCAACTACAGTTAATGATATCATTGTAGTAAAAAACTGGAAGAGAAGGAGGAATAAAACACACATTCCTATACTTCCATAGGAAAGACATTCTTAGCCAAAGTTCCCAAATGTAGTTGATTAGCATGAAATGGTTAAGGTTATTAACGTTTGTATTTCTTTAGTAATGCCAGAAGAGGTGAGACCTGTGGCATTTAGAAAAACACATAAAAGATCTTATGAAAGCCTAATTTGGGGAAGCAATGAGGGAGGCAGGAGCTTAGCTTTTAATCCTGTAATGAGGGACGTGCCAATGGAAAAAAAAAAATCTTTTAGAAGGCTTTCCCAGGAAATATCTCACTTTATAAGATTAATTTCGTGTAATGTCCCCATCCTTTGGAGTTTGAAAGCTCTTTGAAACTGTGTTTATCCAGTGTATGAGTAGCTAAATAACAAAAAAAGGAGCAAGAAAAAAAGAAAAAAAAGGTACAAAATAGTTGGTTTGATGGAGGAAGTGCCTTTGAGAAAGATAGCCATGGAGAAAAGGCATCCCAATGACAAGCCCCAAAATGGTACTCTTCAGTTTGGACCTCAGCTCCTACTTGAATGATAAGGTCTATGGGATAAACCCTTTCTTTTCCGTTCTGTGTTTACAAACTGCGTAGTGTAATGGGACTCAGATCAATTCCTGGCACCTATAAATCCTACCACAGTTCATATAACAAAAGCTATTGTAAGAGACCGATACTTTCCCGTATGCTAACCCTCATCCAAGACAGTTACAGCCTTTCTCAGACCTGTCATAATACCCGCACAGCCCAAGAGGAGTAGAGCAAGCAGATGAAGTCAAGGTATGTCTCTGTGGCCTCGTGTGGTACCACGTGCAGACAGCCAAGCTCGAGTTCCAGAGGAACGGCAGTCTTAATAACCTGGACAACTTTCCCTGTTTCTCAAGAGAGCTAAATAATCAGGTGAAATATCACTGCCAAGAACTGCTTTGCACACACATACCATGTACTCTGAAGACCCACATCCTTATATATCTTCCATCCCAATCTCCTGATTTTGCCAGCCCTCAGGTGCCTGAATCGCTCTCTGCACTATACCTCACCCTTGGAGAACTAAGGACCCCTCAGGTAATGACAGGGAGCCCAGAACCAGGGGGTGCTCAGGCTCTGCAGAACTCCACCCCCTAATGGCACTATGCCGCTTCATGTGGGACCCAAGACTAGCGCATGGGGAGTCCCATCAGGACCATCCCCTTTGATGAGTCCCATCAGGCAGCTTTAGTCCTGAGAGCTTAAAGCTGGGCCCCTGCACTAGCAACAGCACTTACAGCAAGTGGGGAGGTAGGTGCCGTCCTCCTGCGGAGCATGCAGATCTCCAGGATCTGGTATATGGTGCCTGGAGCAATCCAGACAAGGTTTGCAAGGAGATGGGGGGGTGAGGGCTCCAAAGACAGCATCCGGCTCTGCTTATGCAGAGCCTGGCTATTAGTGCATAGTTGCTAGGAGACCCCGGAGGCAGCGTGAGGCAGACAGCCAGCGTGGCAGCGTCTGTGCTGGCTCTGCCAACAAAGGCTTTGGCCCAGCCTTCTCCTCAAGGCGCCTTCCCCTCCCCTCTCCTCTCCCTTCCCCCACTCACAGACACTATTGGTTCATATCTTCACTTCTTACTCTAGCCTGAAACCCATGGGCAATTAGGATAGAATTTGAGATCAGCTCAATACTGTGCATTAAGCAGAGGCTTCCTATTGGTCTGTAAGGAAACATTTGCTGAATGGAGACTGTTCATGCAGAACACTGGTATTGTAGAGAGGGGAGAAATATCTATTGATTGAGATAAATGGCCTTGACAGATTCTGTTTCTCCCTCTTCAGCAGTCAGGGATGGAATCTAGGATAATACATATGTTCCCTGATCTTACATATGTTGAGTTGTTTGACCTCACTGTTTTCAGTTCTTAATTCTGGTTAGTTGCACTACTATTTTGTAAAGAAGTCAGTGAGGCTACCTTCCTGCACTCAGGTCAGAAACTCCATCACCATCTAGTTTCTTTGACATTTCTCAAGTGGCATACAGGTGCTTGCAGCCTGGGAAAAACAACCTCTGTAGACTATTCCTTTTATGATTCTAGTTCACATCAAGATCAGAGTACAAGAGACACCTGGCTACTGTTTCAGCTCCAAGCTGAAATTAGTTAAAAAGGAAGAATCTGACCTCCAGTATGAAGTTACTATAGCCAGGCCCAGTTTCCAAGACATTATCACAGACAGATTTAACTGGCATGAAACATGATTCCCCTCATGTTTGCACTGTCCTTCTGGAGGCTACTCATCCTGACACTAGACAACTGCAGGCAGTACTTCCTTCAGAACCCTTATTTAGTCCTGAGAAATAAGTTTATCTGAAAAGGAAGCAACAATAATGTTATGTTCATGAGAAAAAGGGAACAGATGAATTTTATTAACAGCTCACCTGCAGAAAAAAGGATTTTACTGGTAGATTTTCTCAGCACAGACAGGGCCACAAGTTCAAATTTTCATGTCCTCTTCTTCCCACAAAGACATCCTGAAGAGAAATAACCATACCCTTTCAATGCTAGGAGGGTTTGGGTTTTTAACTTACTGCCAGCATCTGAACCTGAAGAAAGTGGCCCTTAACATGTCACTGGTGCCACCTGATTACAGGTTCTCTCAAAGACAGAATTGTTTGGCCCCTTGCAGAATCAGAACGGTAGCATTTGTGTATGGGTGCACTGCATAAACCAGCACTGCGTTCAAATTCAACAACAAAGCCAAGGGGGAAAACTGTGCAGTGTATCTGTTCCAGGAATTAAAAAAACAATAACTTTCTGAGCTTGGTATCTCATGGAAGGATTTAGTCATAGTTTCCTGAAGAAAAGGCAGAATGGTAGTGAGGTGGGACATGGGGTTCCCAGTTGTTTGTTGGTAAGCCAATTGTCTCTGAAAGCATTGTAGGTTGCGTTCAGAGAAAGATTTAGTGGGGGCTCTGGAGAAGAAGGAGGTGGGGCTCATTAGGGAAGGATAATTAAGTTTTGGAACTTTATGATTCTGTGTCTATTTACTGTAAAGTGGGTTGAAGAAGAGATAAGATGGGTTCATAAAATTTTATTTTCTTGGATTAAACGCACTCGGCTCTGACCTTAAACTAATTTAAACTGGTTGGTCAATACTGAGATTCAGTTTCCCTACTGTTGTGCACTCTTAACTTTTTTAATATCAATGTTAAAATTTTCTTGATAATGAGAGAGAAGAGCAATTTGAGCAGATGCAAACCCACTAAATATCTATAGAAAAAAAGTCACAAGCTTCATAGAAAAGCTTTCAGACAGAAGGAAACTAACTCTAATCAATAAGTGACAGCTTCACTACTCTCAAATGGCTGCAAAGGCTGCCTCTTTCATTTGCGCCATTGCAAAATGTGCTTGCTTGAGTCACCCCTTGTAGAACAGACCAGTCCAGAACTACCTTTTATCTTTCCTTAATTATAATTATAGCATATGCTCTGCCCTGGTGATGCCCATGCTAGCATTTTCCTTATGGAGTGGTTATTTTAAATATTTGTAATTTGGCCATTACAAATTGCCACTCTTTGGAGTGTGTGCTCCTAAGCCTCAGCCTGCAAGAAAAGCAATGTACGGCCTGCCCTAAATGAGGAGAATCAGATGTACTGACCCAAGTAAAGTTTTGTCCTACCATTTTCTTACTTCAAGAAGACTAATGTGAAAACAAAGACCGTATTAAATATTCTTATGCAAGAAAGGATTTTAAAGTGAAAGAGGATGTTAGGATTGATGAGCTCAACCCTATTTCTACCTCTGGCTTCTATTTTTCCACTCATGTGTTTCTTTTATTAGGCTAGACAGGCACTTTCTCATTTCTGCATGCCTGGGTAATGCAATCCCCGGGGGTGTTACACTGTCAGGGTATATCACCCCCAAGTATCCACTGGAGTGTAGCTGTTGAGGCAGGACTTCTGACAGAGACTGTAACCATAGCACAGAGAGAAGCCTAAGCCATTAGCGATCACTATCAGCTAAAGCAGAAATAGCTAGAGGAGAGGAAGGAGGGGGAAAACTATAAGGCAGTCACTGGAATAGCGTTATGCGGGAAGCTGTATCAGTGGTGAAAGCCTGAAATAAAATGGAAAGACAAATCCCAGAGGGACAGAAGAGAGCTGCAAAGGTTTCTGGGAGTTTACAGTAGACTATAAAACTCTAGCTGACCTCAGACTCAAGGGAACTAAGAAAAGATTGGTGAGAAGGGAATGTCTTAGAATTAGCCGTTAGGACATGAAAACTCAAACCTGAAGCAACAAAGGACTGAAAAATCTGGAAGGAGCTCAGTGTAGAACAGTCTGTATTTCTGAGTTATTTCCTTATAATATACGCTGCAGTTATTTCCATTTCCAGGAGATGTAACAAGCTACTTAGTCTGATACCCAGGTTTCTCTAATCTCCTAAATCAGTATTACCAGTGTGATTTGGAGATAGTTTTTTACATATACAGATCCACTATACATTATATATAGTATAATACGAGATGCAAAGGCCCCTCCTCTCTAAGGAAGAGTGTATCTTGTAACTGCACAACCTGTCTCATTGTTTAGGCTGTGCCTGTGTACACTAATGTTTCTAAATTGTTAATCATTCATATATCTTTCTGTTGGACACACAGGTTGCCAAATTTGGGCTCCACTTCAATATTTCAATCCCACGATTTTTGCAGGTAGGGAGGAAAACTTGTATGTTTGTCAAACAAACCCAGGGCGTGGGTTACGATTTCCTGGATCTTCTTGCCGCAGAAAATAGGGAGGCATATGTACACTTCCTTTTTTGTAAGGCTTTGTCTAGATGGAGACAAGAGGTACACTGTAGAATAGGAATGGTCTAGCTGTCTTGTAAATGGCAGAAGAACTAGGAATCAGAAGGAAGTGGGCTGTATCCAGGAGATAAGACTGTGCACGCTCAGAAGAAATGCTTAAAGGAAACAAAGTACCTTGTAAATGTACAGATTATAAATGCCAAATACAGTTATAAGTGCCAAAAGGTAAAGCAGAGAGAAAGGAGTATTGGCTGTAGACTTTCCCTAACGGAAAATGAAGATCAGAGAGGGAAATGCAAGGTTCAGAGGGCGCTGCATGACCTCTCATCAACAAGCTCTTTACTGGAGCACAGCAGTGAGATGGGTAAAGGACGAAGTCTTGACCAACTGCATTTATTTGTATGGATAAGTGACTATAAGGGACACAGAAGAAACAGAGAAGAATTGGGAGAGAAAACCCCTGTTTCTATATCCAGCTCCGGCACTGGGTTGGATAACCTTCAGAACCCACTTTCCCAGAGCAAGTGAGAGAGAATCATTCTCTCATATTTTGTACTGTAATTGTGAATGAAGTACATTTGGTGCACAGAATGTACAGATGTTATATTAAGGATGACCTACTGCAGGAACAGAGGTACTGAAATAAATGTCACATGTATTTGTCTTGTTTCAGTAACATATTTTAAAGAACTTCTAGAACTATTTAAGGTCTTTCAATTTTTCAAGTTGCTCCTCTCGAAATTCCAGGTTGTCATAGTATCATATGTCCAAATATATAGGTCTTGGGTGAAGGAAAATGGTAACTAAGAAACAGAAATCTGAAATTCCATTTTGGACTAAGAATAAACATTTCTCTGGCAGACAGATGGAACACAGCTCAGATGTTCAAAATATGTAAAAAGATGTTTGAGGAAAAATAAATCAGTGAGAAAGTGAAAATGAAGCAGTTAGGCGGTAGGATTTTCTCACTGAAAACAACACTACTTATGAAAGAATGGTAACACACAGAAATATAACTAGATAGTCCATGATCATGGAGCAGCAAGTATTACAGGCATAGTTTATTAAGCAAGATAAAATATACGTTGTTACTATGGGTGGCAGCATAAGTGAAGTATGCTTCAGAAGATCTGTTTACGTATTTTTTTGAATAGTTAGCAAGGGAATTTCTTTTTCTTTCTTAAGCGTTTGTTCCAATCACATTAATTTAGTGGTTGCTTCAGGTTATTTATTAATAGGTCTTTCTGTCAAGAGATTTTTCTTATAGCTTTGGCTCTTGGATCTGTGATTATTTTGTTTACTGTCTAAACTAAAGCATAATTTTAAAATTCTGAGAGTATTTGTCCTCATTTCTCTTCTTAGATACATCAGAGCTTTCTGATGCTAAATAACGTACAGCTGACATCTTAAAACGTTTTAAAATTTCTGTGAATAGCAGCATTCAAGTTTAAGTCTGCCTCCTACTTTCCAGAAGTTAATGCTTCCTAGATTGCAGTAGCAACAGGGAACTGAGTTCATTTCTTTGCTTCCACTTTACAGTGATGGCAGCAAAGACAGTTAGTAC